GCCAAGTACCTTAGGTTTGCCCCATGTCGGCAGCTGACAAGCTAGCTAACCGCTCTCCTGATCCTTAGAAGACTGTAGCACGATGGTGGCGAGTACGTGTTACATACACGCCGCTACCGCAATGTGCTAATACAGATTACGCAAAACTATCGTGCTTTATAAAAAAAACCCGAACCAGACCAATTCAGAGATGCAAGCTTTGAACAAATCCACCCCCACATAAGGTGCCTATCAGTACAGTACACTGATGTTATGCCAGCCCTCCAAAGACCAATCTAGAAAGCCATCAAAAAACAAAATGTATAAATCATATTCAAAGCATAAGGTTCAAACAGAACCGGTATGTTGCGTAGTGCAATTTCGCTGGATATACGTGTAGATGGTATTTTCAGCTTGCATGGCATGTTTTTTGTTTGTTTGTTTGTGAGTGTGTGTGTGTGTGTCACTGTGTGTGTGTGTATGTGTGTGTGTATGTGTGTGTGTGTGTGTGTTTGTGTGTGTGTGTAGCTTATTAAGTTATTGCTGGCCAAAGCATGTGGAAACACAAACAGTTAGGCAGACACACCAGAAAAACAACAACCCCGTCAAACTACATTTCACCACGTTCCGCATTACTACGGACAATGGCTAGGAGGCGTCACGCCATGAAAACACATCCAAATATACAGATCTCAGATCCTTTCAGTCTCTATTCTTTGTGGTGGCAAACATAGCTCGGTTTTGATTTGATACTTTGATTATGAGCATCGTCCAAGATTGTCCTATTTAACTTTAAATGCTGTAATGTCAGCAAGTACAGTTTAGAACTCTTAATATGATATATTGAAATTTTACTTCATGTCTAGTAGTCCACTAGTCAGCCATTGCTCTGTCGTCACTTGCTAGACCAGATTCGTAATGATGATATAACGGTAGGCGTTCCCTGCCAATATCTAAACCCTGCGACAGTCAGGCACATATCTAGACTGCCACTGTTTTGGGTACGATACCCCCCCCCCCCCTTTCGGCGTAGCAGAGTCGAACAACCTGTCATACCTAACTGTGTACAAATATAAATAAATATATCAAAGAATGTTTAGACCTTAGAACAAGCACTAGTAGTATAAGCTGATTCATCTGTTATCTTTGTTAATTTTGTTGTACGTATCTAGATCTGTCCGTATGTCTAACGTGTAGTTACAGACCTTACGAAAGCCGCCGTGCTTTTGTTGTGTCAATTAAGCTCTATATCTAGTGCGTCTAACCTTTGTATCTGTATATTTTCAATGAAGTGGGTTTCCTGATTATTAAGGGTCAGGCATTACGGAAGTGATACTTTGTTATACCTAAAAGAGACAAGTTGACGGCCCCTACCCTTTTTGACAACTTTTCTAAGCTCTAGTGTCAAGAACCAGTCGTGTATACGTAAGACCACGTGTAGGTAAACTGTCTACCTAGACTTGTTTAAACATGACAGCGTGATCCGACGGTTTTCATCATGGTAATTTAATCTGTATTTACAACATGCACTTTCATCTTTGGTTGAATCTAATTGGATTTTTCACTTAATTGATTGTTCTTGCATGTGTTTTGAAACATCTCGCAACATCTGCGTAGACAATTTTGATTTGGTTACAATTTTCACAGGTTTTCGTGATTGTGAGCTGATGTAGTGACGATTTATACTCATCGTACATTTGTTTTGGCAAAATGTTGCTTTTCTAAACCGTGCTATCTTCTACATCACCATTTCATGCATATGACATATATGGAAACCTCTTTAGCAATTCAATGGAATATAACCAACATATGAAAAACTCAAATCAGTTCATAGTGAAAATACATGTACAGTTACCGTACTACTTCTCTTCATATAGCAGCAATAAAGCAAAAATACATCCAGAGCCCATTGAAACAGCATTTTCCTCTTGATGTTTTCCTGATAATTAATACCAGATTCAACATGCATAAAAAGGCTGGAAAACAAAATTCCCTTGTAAACGAATATGATGTAGTGCATTGTTGCAGTTTCAATCATGTTTTCTTGATTATTCCTGCTTGTAAGAATATATAGTAAATTCACATTTAAACATGATGGTCTTGTTGCCATTTCATAAAACCTTCCCTGGCTATTGGGCTATAATATAAGGGGATAAATAATACATTAAAGTAAAAAAACAGAGTATTTTTTTCTTTCCTACTGCAATAATAAAGCAAAATTAAGCATCAAAGCATAGGAGCAACTTTGTCCGTTTGATATTGTCTTGACAAAGAATTCCAAATATATACATGTACATAATCTCTTGTACATGAGCTTTCAAACATATTTCTTGATTTGGCTTGTGAGGTTATGTAGTAAATATGTGCTGTATTAAATATAGTAAATCTACAGTAGTAAATATGCTGATGCCTCGTTTTCAAATGTTTTCCACTTCACTATTTCATAAGGCATTCACAACACTCCCTTGGCTATAATATACGGGAGTGTTACGACATAGGGCAGTCAACATATGACAGTAACAATATTTTGCTACAGTCACAATAAGGAAAACTACACATCAAATCATTTAAATAACGTTGTCCTCTTGATTTTTTCGTAATTAAATACATGTATATACACAAGAAACGCAGAAATACTGGTAAATCATCTCTTGTAGACGAGTTTGCTTTCATTACATTTTTTTCGCCTTTTTTTGTTTGTTTTTCTATTTTTTTCATTCTCACTGGTGAGTTAATGTAGTAAATACGTATGCTCAGCTAAGATCGTTTTTAACACTTTTTACAAACTTGCCATTTAACACCATCTTTTTTTAAGTACTAATAAACCAAAGCTGACTTTCTACAACATGACATCATACATGTTTAGAGCCACCACAGCCTCTGTGTCGCTGAGCTACTCAAATGGTATCACCTTCAAATTTATGTATTGAAATAAAGTTAGAACTGAAATCTGCTGTCTCTACGATAATCGTTCTCACCACCAACAGCACAATGTCATTCTTTGCCTTGATCAAATTCACTGTTCTTTTCCTGGCGCAGACATCGCAACGTTACATTGAAAAATAGATATAAGATCTCTATATACACACATCTAGTCACAAATATAAGATTTCTCTAGTGTTGAGTTCTTCAGAATAGGGGTCTTGGTCATTTCATGCTGTTCTGCATACGCAACTTGTCGTCCTGTACCGGCCCCAATTCGCTACTAATAAATCAACAATTGTACTACTAATCTTTTCCCTGCAGTACCACCCTACAAAGTCTAACAGAAATGGTTGACGGAATGTCACTGCTTCCTAAATCTACATCGAACTTTGAAATGCATGCTGCTAATATAGCCAGTACTTCCTGTACTTGGCCTGGTGTTATTTCTTGCAGAAAATATTCATCCATTGTAACAAACAAGCTCCATTTGGTCTACAGGACTGTTACAATAAAATTCTGTCCCCTATCTGGGACATAAAAGTTGTCTGATATTGTTTAAGACATAACTCGGTCATTTTACGTTGACATACAGTATTGTATGTAACTCTGCAACTGTGGCTTTCTTTGTCACTTCTTCAAGGCAATGTTGAGTGAGTTTGAATTTCGTTACTTAGGTTCTTGCAGATAAATGGTTTATTTTCCCTGCAATTTTTGTCAGCCCATTGTCCTTTGTACCTCTTTGGAGTGAACTATCCAGAAATCATGTCCGTCTGAAGAAACGTGATGACCAA